TATGTCGCTAATTTGTTTAATTTTTTTATTGTGGTCAAAATTTCTGTCGAAACTTATTTCCAATCTAATCAACGATTTGTTTTTAAAAGAGAAAATATTTTTTAGTATTCTTTTACTTTGTTTAATTTTTGTCAAAGAAACAGACGCTTTTTCTTGAATTGACTCTGTATTTACTTTTTTGTGAGGTGTTTTTTCTTTTGTAAAATTTGAGTTTTTTGTTCAGAATAGTGATTGTCGAAAAGGTTCATTGAATTTGATCTTGACTGCTCTTGCAAAAATAGCAAGGCATCTCAAGAGGCTCGCTATTTGACACCGAGACAACACAACGAGAAATGGGCTTTCCTTTCTGCAAACCATCAAAAAAGAAAGAAATGTTCTCTAAAGGGAAATTGTTTTTTTATATTTTAGTGTCGTTGGGCAATGCATTTGCCCAACGTGTGTCGCTTTGAGCATCTAGCTGATGCAATCTCTAGTGTTTGTTAAGCTCGATTAAACTGTAAATGCTGAAGCAGTGTTTGAAAGAATATTCACAGTACTCGACTGACACGTCAACTTCTGTGTCATACTCTGGCACTTTTTTGGCAGCCTCGTTTTTGATGAGTCTGGCAAGAGCTTGCAAAATGTCGGCTCGATTTTGTTTTACACAAACATACACACTTTTGATCATATGAAGCGGTGGAAGGGAAAGTGGCTTGCACTTGAAACTGAACACTGAAACAAGCCAGGCAACACTTTCAGCACTACTTGACAGCCACTGACATGATGCTTCACACCTCACAGTGAACGATGCAAACTGTGTGGTTGCGGCCAAAGAAGGCCACATTCTTTGAAGAAGCAACTTTTTCTCGATGCCTGGCACCAGTCAACATTGCTCACTTGTCCACGAGTGGATAGACTAATTTACAGTGAGCTTTATTAATTAAAGCTACCCACTCTGGGCGAGTCTGGGCGGATGATTAATATGATAATTTTATAATATTAACATTAACCTAATGGCCAACTGTAATTAATGAAGGCATAGAGCCGTGTCAGTGCCTATTTGCATATCTGCTACAGTGTCGAGCCATCTGAATGAATCCTTAGATCTATCAATAGCGTTAATGAGCTAGAACCCGCTGTACAGAACGATCCCCCTTTTTCTCTGTTTTTCCCGATTCACAACAGGCAGTCGTCTTAAGTCTGCCCTAGCAGCCACTACCCATTTGGGTAGACTGTCAAACGCACTTTTTACTCAAAACGAAGCACTCTGCTTATGTTTGTTTATCTGTAGAGCTCGTGAATCATCATCGTTTTGCTGCGCATTTGACGGCAAATCGATTTTCACAGCAACTGGCGAGCAAAGTGTTCGACACTGAGTTTCACTATTTTTCTGGCGCCCACTTTGTTGCTTTTTGCAATCTACGCTACTGAAAGTCGAGGACGGTGTCAATTTGTTCCCCACTGTGATCCAGAAGTTGAAGTTACTATTANATTTGACGGCAAATCGATTTTCACAGCAACTGGCGAGCAAAGTGTTCGACACTGAGTTTCACTATTTTTCTGGCGCCCACTTTGTTGCTTTTTGCAATTTACGCTACTGAAAGTCGAGGACGGTGTCAATTTGTTCCCCACTGTGATCCAGAAGTTGAAGTTACTATTGAATGACCATCATTTGTCAAGACTGATTCAAAGACAGTCTACTGGTGTGTCACAAGTGCCATAAATTATTGTCTTACGGGGTATGCTGTCATTCACCAAGATACCCGTCGATCTTGCACAGGCTGCCCATGACAATCGATACCAATGGAGCACTAAGGCTCTATTCCGCGTTAGTGTTGCCAACACATTTTGGCTGCACTTTTGCCAGTCGCTAATTTGTAATTTTGCCACCCCTGTGTTGCTGCTCCCGTGCTGTTCCCGTCTACTTTTCATGTCTGCGCTCACACAGGCTCTCAACACTTGCTCATTCGCTTGGGTGCAATGTAATTATAGTAAGTAAAGTGCTGCTTCTCCTGCATACTCTATTGCTTCTTCTTCGGCATCTCTCTCTCTCTCTCTCTCTCTTTCTCTCTCTCTCTCTCTCTCTCTCTCTCCTCCCTTGCTCTCCCTTTCCCCGATTTGTTCAATTTCATCGCTGAATCGACTGTTGTGCTGCTGCATCTCATGTTCTATACCGTTTCCTCAAAGGGGACAAGTTCACTTTGGACAAAACTTTGTTGTCGACTGTGCTCTCAATTGAAAGGCACTCTCTTTCTCTTTGTGCACTTTCTCCAGTGATCTATTTGTTCGTCTTCTTGCTTGCCTAGATGTCCCCATTGCTCATTTCGTCTTCTTAGAGCAAGGTGTCTCCCACGGAGTGAATTTATGGAATGTCTTTGCTGCCCTTTATTATTATAAAAAGCAATCCAGGTTTTGTTTAAGGTACTTTACTGCAATTTTAGGCAGACAATCAGTGTCTGTTCATCAATTTCACTGCATAAATACACCTTATAATTTTCTATTTTATTTGAGGTCATTTAATCTGATTAATATCCAGTTCGGACACTGCATGCAGAATTACACTGTACAGCTAAGTTTGATACACAATATTCGTCAGTTCTCTTTTTTCTTACAAAGTTTAAATTGNCTGTTCATCAATTTCACTGCATAAATACACCTTATAATTTTCTATTTTATCTGAGGTCATTTAATCTGATTAATATCCAGTTCGGACACTGCATGCAGAATTACACTGTACAGCTAAGTTTGATACACAATATTCGTCAGTTCTCTTTTTTCTTACAAAGTTTAAATTGTTTTTTCTACCCAGCTCCAATGTTTATTACAATACGTTGTCTAAGCTGCAATTGATGTACTCAAACTTGGCAACAATTGACCATTTTTTCATTTTTTATGAAAAATCTGTGTGTTCATACTACTTTGTAACCAAAGGTGAATTAGTCACTGAAAAACGCACTTTAACTCTGGTTAATTAGTGCTTTTTGGAAAGCTGCCAACAACCTGGTTTTTGCTTAACATTTTTTACAATTTTACCATTTGCTGTTTTTCTATTTCATTTTTTTATTAAAGTGCCAATTTTTATAAATTTTTATTTTTGATTAAATTGGCTGTCATCTTTTGAGCTTTTGTATCTTTAGACGATTTTATTGCACTTACTTGACTACAGTCGTAAATGAGAATTTACTTCAATTAATAATTCATATTCTTTACAAATTCTTTGAAATTGTCTCAATTTTTTCCATTTTGACATAAGAAGTGTGTCGAAGTTTTTAAATTAAAACCGGAGAGTTTTTTTGTACGACAGCCAAACTTAGTGTTAGCAATTTTAGTTGAAAGTAAAACTAGGCCTCATGATCAGTAGTGACAAATCTTGGACACCTTTCTTCTGCTTTTCTTTTTTGTCTGACCGATTTTAGTTGCGAGCCCATTTGTTGCAGTTTACAGATTTTATATTTTTCTCCATTAGTAGCCATTTCCGATTACACAGACTATTTTCTTGCAGCTAGACAAAACGAATTTGCAGTGTTGTTTTTCTGTCTTTTTAGAGCTCAGCACTGTCTAACGCGAGGCCGAGTTTCTATTACCGGCTTGCACCTGAAAAGTGCACGTTTTTGGTTAACTTTCTAATTTATTGCCCGACACTGGTTTAGTGTGTTTGTTTGCTCCTAATACGCTTACATTCTCTTTATTTTTCTTTTTTCAATTTTCTAGTAGACTCATTTATTTTGCCCATTGCGTCGAAGATTTGTGTGTGCATGTGTGAGTGTCTACTTTACTATTGCTGCGGTTGCAAATCTCGATCTAACTCAATTTGTTGCTGTGATTTGTGTGGTCAGTGCACTGCTGGTTATTTGAGTGCCACAATCACTAGTGATGCTGTTTTGGGGTCGAAAACATTGTTAAAGTGTGCCATCTTCTCAACCAACTCCACAGGAATTTAGCAACTTGCATTCTGCGTATCAACACTTTTTCTATTTTGCTTAAATTCAATTTGCCAGCAGACAAGAAAGCAAAGGCAGGAGATATCTTGTCGCCTGCAAGTACTTGTAACCGCAATTGACTCATTGCTTAAATGTGTTGCGCTCATTTCAACTTTTACTTAGTCACTTTTTATAGTTTAAACTAAAAGTTTTTAGTTTCACATTCTAGTGCTCAAGTTGTTTTCAATGCATACTTTAACAACTGCTTTTCAATTTGTCAAGATAGCGTCAAGTAATTATTCTTACTAGGTTAAATCAATATTCAGTTTCTCAATTTCAATTACTTTAACAATCATGGCGTGATTTTTATTTTATTTTTAAGTTTTCACAGAAAAGCATCACGACTATAAGCTGTCATGAGAGCTTTTTTATATAAAAAAAAGTCTCGCTAAAAAGAATGATAGTTGTCTAGGCAACTGACGAATAAATATTTTTTTGCGTGTTTCTCTGCCAATTTTTTCTTGCGGTAAAAGTTAAATTTTTTGGACTGAAAACGATAACTTTTATAAACGTATTCTTTTTAACCTAATTGAATGCTATTTTTTAATTTACTTTAACCAGAATAATGAACAACTTTTGCTGACGTATCGCCTTACTGACACCCTCATCCTCACCTTGCACTGTCATTTGCGCACGCTACAGTGCGTGAATCGTCGTTTCCTGGTTCACAGGATGCCTTTCCGCTTGATCTCAAGACTGAACACCGAACCACTGCGGGCACTACTTGGCGGTCATCCCTTTTTAAACTTTAGCCTCCACTTGCTTTTGATCAGCCTAGTGCTGTACAGTTCGCTGTTAAGCCTGTTAACACCCATAGCCGCCACTCAAACCGTGCAATGGACATTAATCGAGAACTTCAGTTTTCACGAGCACAGCTATTCGATGCACTGGCGTCCGCATCGACACCAGCACTACAACAGCAACGATTCGTTCAGCAGTGCCGAGCAGGGCACTGCGACGACACCTCCCCACCTGCGGCCTATTCGTATCGTCGTACTGGCGCCATTTCACAGCAACGAGGACTACTCACTGGAGAAGATTATGCCAGCCATTGTGGCAGCCGTGCGTTCTATTGTGGAGGAGGCGAGCAAATCCAAAGGCCAACTGTATCGCGGCTGGGAGCATGGCGCAACAATCGACTTTGTCGACACAAAGTGTTCTTCGGCAATCGGCCCTCTCGTCGCCTTCGACTACTACATTCGCGGAAAAGTAGACGTCTTTCTCGGTCCCGTCTGTCCGTACGTGCTCGCCCCTGTCGCCCGCTACACCAGCTTCTGGGACGTTCCTCATCTCACTTCTGCGGGACAGGTTTCCATGTTCGATGACAAGAACATCACATTCCGCATTCTGACGAGAATGAATGGCTCCTTCTCGCAAATGGGCCAATTCTTCAATCAGGTAAGCAGCCATTCTCTCACTTTTCACTGACTGCTCTCTTTCTACTTGCTCTTCTAACGGAACCGCACTTCTGATGAGTCTAAAGAGAAATCACTTTGCCTAAGTAAAGTAAACACAGAGTGCAGTGTGGCAAATTATTTTTGGCAGTCAGTGGGAGAAAGAGAGAGAGAGAGGATAGCCAAGAAGAGATCTGCCTTCTCAATAGTGAGACACTGCTTCGCCATCAAGGTTGATTGGTGATTTGATTTTTCTGGCACGCTGTGTGACGTTTGTTTGGCTCTGCCATCGCTGTCTAAATTGCCCAAGATAGATTGGTCCCGCTTGAATCATTCACATTGAATGCTTCTCTCTGTCTGCAGAAGCACTCAGTGCGAGCATCAGCTCGACTTGACACTCGGCATAGCTCGATCAAAGGCGATCACTGACTCGAGAGAATGCATCAATTAGGCTGGGCAGTGTGTCACTTTTCATAGCACTTCTCATGCAGCGTTTATTTTTTGTCATAAATGACACTGCCTAGAATATTGCTTCAGACTGGAAGGCATCAGCGCACTCCTACTCATTGCAACACGCTCCATTGCCGTTTAGACTCTTCTCAATTGCATTACTGTGATAATTGTTCGCTCAGTCGATGCCATCAGCTCATTATGCGGTGCACTGTACTGTGGCAAAGACGTGGCCCAAATGGCAAGCCCAGTGCCCAGGCAGTCTGACTCACAGGAAATGTCAGAGGGCTTTAGAAACACCACTTGGCGATGCTATTCCTTGAGCCAATAATGGCTGATTATCTGCAATAACAAGCGTGCGCGTACGGCTCTCTGTTAATCGCTATTACGGCATTATCAGTGACTGCCTTTCCAATTGGCTTCCACTGCACTTGTACGTATGTGCTATTTTTCCGTCGAATTGATCTGAAATCTATAAATAAGTAAGCAGTTTTTGTCTATGTACGAGAAGCGGAACAGTATGTGAGTGCCGATTAGATAACTTTTTTTGAATGTTGCGATTTTTTATTTCATTTTAATATTTCATTACGCTGCGATGTACAATTGCTGTCAGTTTTTAGGCAGCAATATTCTATGTTTCTGAAGACACATTTCAGTTGAGAGAAGTGATTTTACAATGTGTTTTTAAAAAGTGAGTAGCTTGAATACATGTCAGGGGAAAAAGAAAACCACAATCGATCGACCGTATTTAATATAAAGGGAGAATATTGCCAAACTCTGTGAACCATTATAAATTCAAATTACAAATGCTTTCTGCTGAGATCTATTTTGAGCTGATGATCGTACTGTTTTTTATTGACTTTTATTGTCTGCACACTGGTCTTTGTCTTTCTCCTGACTGCTTTCTAATGAGCGAATAGAAAAGTGGTGATAGGCACTCCAATGCTACGCTGCCAAGTGGACATTGTCAACAGCGCTCGGTGCACTTTTTCACAGAGCCCAAGACCGTCTCTATTGCCATCACTACCACCAAAACTGCCACCATCACTAATCCCATGCATGCGGTGAGAATTAATATTTATGTTTGTATTGCGGTTTTGAGCTCGAATGCATCGTCACGGAAATTGTCACTTTGCCAATATTTCCAATCTGACTTTTGGCATGTTGACACAGCCTTGTGACTGTGTCCCTCAGTGGCCACGACTCGACAGTGCTTGGCTGTTTGCCCTGACGATAGTGCAGTGTGGAAATGTTGGCTTTTCTGCACTTATTTTTGGGTTCTCTAAATGAAATTATTAAATAAATTCAGGTTGACACTTTCCTTGAAGGGCAAAAATCAAAGGCAATAACAGTCACTTTGCTGATGATGCTCTGTAGGGCTGAGTGCAAGCGTATGACATCGATTCGGTGTTGATTTGTGAATCAGTGTCAACTTTTGTTGGCAATCAACATAAAATTGCGCTCATTTTAGGTTTTCTGATACTTTGGTTTTGTAAATGCTCTAAAACTATACTTGTGATCATGAATTATTATTAAACATTGAACACTGCTTTACTGAACATATTTTGATTGTAATTTAGATATGATTTGATTTGAAATTTACATTTAAATTTGTCTTTTTCAATTTAATTTTGTTTTATAAGGGCTAATGGTATCCGTCACAAAAGTTGTTTTTGGTTCTACTTGAATTTTAATGATTCTTTTTGACAGCACGCATGCTTTCAGGCAAATTCGGATACTGTTCTGATGCATTTATCAGCGTTCACATTTTTAACTTTTTGTGAGGCATTTCTTAATGAGGGAATGTAAATTCCTTTTTACGAGTTAAAAGTAGCGGACTGAAAAACCTCAGCTATGAGTTCATTGATGGTGCCGTCAATGAATGAAGCGACTGTGTTATGTATGAGTTTATAAAATCGCTGCTGATTCACCGGCCACTGACACCAGCCGTTGGCATAATTACCAGGAACTGAAAGCACACATACACGCTCACTTTCATGCAGAGTTAAACTGCATTCTTGAAGGGCAACTTGATTGAATCCAGGCTGTGCATTAGTGGCTGCTTTTGACCGAAGCGTGCGTCTTGTAAAAGAGCTCTCTTTGATTGGAGACAGAATCTTGAGCTTTACTGAACTCCTTTCCGCTTTTCCTTCACTGCCACTCTGCTACTGTAAAGTGCAAAGTTTATTTATTGATTACTGTTTATGCGTTTGTGGTTTCAATTAACTTTAATCGCCTTGTGTGATGGCAATGTTGCAGCAACGCATATTTTCTTTAATATTATGTACTTCAAAATCATTGCCTTTAATTGAGTTTTCTTGCTATAGAACTAGAAAGTCACTGTCATTAGTATTGATGCAGTTTTCCTAAGAACTTGGTCCAATTGGTCACTTCTGTAAAACTGTCTGGTGATTATTACAGCTTTCTGTTGAATTGAAATTAACCAGGCAGGTTAGCAGTGCCCACTTGTGCACTATTTGGTAGCCATTGAAACGAATGATTCTACCCGACACTGCGAGTCATTAATAATGCCTGCTCCAGTTGCGCTCGACCAGACACTGTGCAGATTGTGTTCTGGTAGCTTCTCAGCTGTGCTCTTTAAATATTCACTAGTTAGGGTTTCGTTTTTCATCATTTCAAGATGGTGTCGCTGAATCAAGACTGGAATTTGCATCTAAATTTACTCTTGAGATGCTACAGGCAAACATTCTAGATCTAGTCACTTGCTTTCTTTTGTTTTTCTCTTTCACTTTGGTGAATAAAAGTCGTTCGTTGGAGGACATGGTCCGTTTGGCTTGTCACTTTCATTTCTTTTTTAGAGTGGATACAATGCAGGCAGTGACACGGTTAAAGGTTTCTAATATATATTGATTTTGTCTTTTCATCAGATCCTGAATCGCTTCAACTGGAAGACTGTCTTTTTTCTCTACACAGATCCAAACGATCGCAGTAAAGGCCATTCACTGTGCCACTTTTCGCTGGCGTCCGTTTTTATGAGTATGGGCCCAAAGGCGGTGGAGCTGAAGCGCAGCTTTGACGAGGAAGAGGAAGAGTCCTATGAAGACTACCTGAAAGATGCGTCGATGAAGTCACGCAGTAAGTAACATTAGTAGCTGTTTTGGTAGTTTTACAGTAGAATGTTTTGTGCCACTACTATGCCTTAATTGACCATAACATGGCTGTTTAATTTGTCGCTCTACCAATCATATGCTTCCTTCTTACGTGCCCAATTGCTGTTCAGTCGATGCAGTAGTACTGAGGTGCATTATTAATGGATTTGCAAGATAAATAGCAGAGCTGTACAGTGTTTTGTTGCTGATTCGGATGTTTTACCGCAAACACAAGCAAAGGTTTTCTTGTGTTTATTCGTTTAGTGTGCGGGGGACTATTATAAGGCTGTAGACAGACCAAGGCACTTTTCACTGATAAATCTAATTACCTCTCTTTTTTCTTTTTTTTAATTAAATTAGTTCAAATTAATTTAAATCTTTTTTTGACCATACTCATCTTGCCACTGTGGTGCAAACATATGTGTACAGCAAAGCAGCTAACAAGATTGTGATTAATTAGATTTTTAATTAATGATGATTTAATTTGATTATCCTTTAAGAAGATGGTTTTTAATGTATCTTTTGTTGATTTTTTTGCTTTTACTGTGTCTGCATCTATTTTGTCTCATTTTTCATTTGGTATATCACTCAACAGCTCTAATTGGCTCACTATATCTTTTTTGTTTTCCTCTTTTTGCAGTCATCATAATGTGTGCCAAAAAAGACACCGTCCGTCGCATCATGATCACCGCCTACAAAATGGGAATGGTGCAAACAGGAGAATTTGTTTTTATCACAGTTGAACTCACTACTGGGTAAGTGACTGAAAAGCACCTTGGACTCTGGATTTTTCTATTAATTATTCATCACTGACCCCAGTTCTGCTTTTCCGTCGAATGTCGGTGACAGCAGTTGGTAGTGGTAGTGTGTTTGCCAGTTTCAATTATCCCGAAAGATGAGCAATTTTGTCCATTATGTTAATGCTTTGCGCCATTTACAGATTGGATGCCTCGCAGCGCCCTTGGGAGCGTGCTGATGCCTCGCAAGAGGAGAATGTTATGGCAAAGGAAGCCTACACTTCGCTGATTCGTGTCACTCCGAAGATGCCGCAGACGGCAACTATCAACTCTTTTCTTGAGTCAGTAACGAAGATTGCAATGACGGAATTTAATTACAGTCAGTACGGCAGAGGAGAGGTGAGTACTTTGAAGTACTGCTGATAAAGTCAGAGGCTTGTTCTTCTTTGGGTTTTTACTATAACAAATTGTTGCAGGTGAGCTCATACGCAACGGCATTTCATGAGGCTGTCCATCTGTATGCACTGGGACTAAATGATACCCTTTCCGATGGCCACTCTGCGCCCAATGGCTCTTCTATCACTCGCAAAATGTGGGACCGAACGTTTATGGGCATTGCCGGGAATGTGACAATAGACGCTAATGGTGACCGACTCGTCGATTATTCGCTCTTTGACATGAACCCCGTGACAGGCGATTTTGAAGCGGTCATGATCTTTGACTCTAAACTGAATGAATTTTTTGAGCTACCTGGCAAGAAGATTCATTGGACTAATGATCGTCTTGGACCCCCTCCTGACACTCCTCCTTGTGGTTTTGAAGGTGAACTTTGTCTTTCCGATGAAGCAGAGTATTCGCAAAAAGTGCTCATTATTGCCTCAGCCACACTGTCTTTACTGCTGTTTTGCACATTTATTGTCTTCATTTTTGTGTATCGACACTATCGCTTGGAGGCTGAATTGGCTTCGATGACGTGGAAGATTCGCTTTGAAGACATTCAAACCAACACCTCAGGACTGTCTCACATGGCCAAGATGGGCTCTAGAATGAGTCTAGCAAGGGTATAATCATTTTAGACATGGTAAATCTTTCACTTAGACAATCTTTTCAGGTTTCAATATCATCCGACACAATGCCACTAGTGAATGGCACCCATGGAGGAGCGCAAATGTTTGCTCGGACAGGCATCTACAGAAATGTTGTGGTAGCTTTGAAACCAATTGAGAAAACTCGTATTGAATTGACTCGTTCACTTTTGATTGAACTTAAAAACGTAATGTTTACCTTTTTAACTGATTTTAAATTTAAAATTAAAAACTTGTATGTTTTTAGATGAAAAACTTGCAGCATAACCACATTGTGACCTTTATTGGTGCTTGTCTGGAGCCAACGAACAACTCGTGCTTTATTGTAACAGAGTATTGTCCAAAGGGTTCATTGCAGGACATTTTAGAGAATGAAGAGATCAAGCTAGACTGGATGTTCCGGTACTCGCTCATGCACGATATTATCAAGGGAATGTCTTTTCTACACGCCAGCGAGATGCACGTTCATGGAAACTTAAAGTCGAGCAACTGCGTTGTGGACAGTCGATTTGTGCTTAAAATTACCGACTTTGGATTGCACTCTCTACGACAGCCCAGTTTGGGCTCCTCAAACCGTCTACCGCTGCCGAATGAGGTAGACGAGACGCACTACTCCTACTGGAGACGTAAGAAATTGAGATTCTTTTTTGCTTGCTTTGCCTTGCACTTTACCTGCTTCCAAACTTCTACACATCTGACTGCTGCTAAGTTAATTTTGATTTTTTGTTTTTCATCTCATTTATTTCTAATATTTGTTTCCATTTTAAACTTTTCAAGACTTTTTTAAAAACAGCAAGATTCAANGAGACGTAAGAAATTGAGATTCTTTTTTGCTTGCTTTGCCTTGCACTTTACCTGCTTCCAAACTTCTACACATCTGACTGCTGCTAAGTTAATTTTGATTTTTTGTTTTTCATCTCATTTATTTCTAATATTTGTTTCCATTTTAAACTTTTCAAGACTTTTTTAAAAACAGCAAGATTCAATTTATCTTCCAATATCACAGTTTCTTACTAGTGAAAGGAGCACTCAGCACTTGATTGTCATTTCAATGAATTGCCTTGTGGCGTTTCTCGCTAATAGCCAAGATTTCTTTGTTTCCAATACTATTGGCGTTAGCTGTGAATTAGCCATCTCAGCAATGAAAAGTCACTCAATCACTGTTTCGATCCACTACATGTTCATTGCCAAACTCAATCGTACTTTTTATTGTTGCGAAAGCGCCACAACACTTGCTCTAAACTTTAGTTTCAAGTTACATCATTATTTTAGAGGAGAGGAAGACAGTGAAGAACACACTTGAACACAAAAACTCCATTGCCTTTGTTGTGTGGCTAAGTGTGGTTGTTTTTGCAAATCTAAGTAAACTTCTAACTTTTTGTACAGAAAAATTTTGGACTGCACCAGAACTGTTGCGACTTTGGCTCAAAACGGCAGAATGCAACGGAATTAAGCAACAACAGCAGTTACAGTCTCAAATTTTGCACGGAACGCAAAAAGGTTTGTCAAATGATTCTCTGTTGAACAAAATGTGTTGTTCACCCGCATTTATCTTTTCATTTGACAGGAGATATATATAGCTTCGCTGTTATTTGTCATGAGATACTTCTTCGCCAAGGGACATTTTATTTAGGCGATGAGGAGGACATGAGCCCTCGAGGTAAGACAACTTCATCGCTATCAACACTGGTGGTACGCCTTCTCATCAATGGGTCTTTTTACAGAGATAATTTACAATGTCTGTGAGAATGGCTTGAGACCACGACTGGAGGAGCACATGGCCGAGCACGAAGCAGTACTGCAGATGGTCAACCGGTGTTGGCATGAGGATCCAAATGAAAGGCCTGACTTTGTCACTCTGCAATCCATCATCCGGCGCATCAATAAGTGAGTACCTGCGACGGAAAAGAATTCGCTTTAGACTGTTTTCTTTTCAATAGCGGTGATTGCTAATTTAGACACTGCTTTTCCTTACAAACCCTTTTGCGCTTTGCGTTTGTTTATTTGCACTAAACACACCAAGTCTGCTTGCACACACACACACACACGCCGGAACGGGTTTAGGCTTTTCTTTCGGTTATCAGGCAAAAAGAAAATATTTATGGAAATATCTTCAGCCCAGCAGCCATTGTCTTGCTGTTTTCGAAGCTGAATTTCGGTGCTCTATTATTATGTAGCAGTGTGCACTTTCACTCTTGTGCCTCTTCTCTTGCCTTCCAACGGCAACGAAGACTCGGCAAAGAGGTACGAAACAGGGAGACTCGATTTCCTGTGTCGATCTGGGTGCACGGTCATCGCGGACAACACAACTCGGCCGGCGGCCGTGGTTGCCTGGGCGCTCCGAAAGCGAGTGCATCAGCAAGGCGACAAAGCCTTCCGCCGCCAATTGGCTCAAATGCCACCGTGTCCGCCGCAAAAGGATCTTGCTTTGTTGTATTTACATTTTTAATTTGTTTGCTCAATTCTTGGGCAAAGATGTGCTTGGTGAGTCAGCACGGAGGAGGAATAGTGAATGTGCATTAGCAGCTACCAGCTAGCTTTCAGCCATTTAGAAGACTAATAGCTGGGCAAACAGCAAAGAAGAGGCAGATGCTGAAAGTTGAATTGCACCGCAGTCACCACCAATGGACTTATCTGCCCACAAAAACTAAAAAACTTGTGTGTTTGTTGTGCCCAGTAAATGAACTGTGCCTAGTAACAACATTTGTCTCATTTTTGTTTGGTCTCCACTGGCCAGGTGAAATATATCCCTTGAGTTAATTTAATTTAATAACTTTTTGTAACTGTTTCTACCAACTCTGCGCTTAAGCTATTGGCAGACTTCAAAGCGACCATCCTCCACATCTCTGTGGGCATTCTATTGCATTTTTTGGCTTGTTTTCTCTTCAATAGATCAACTTTTGTTTTTTCTGTTCAGTTGTATGTTTGTGCTTGTGTAGTGTTTCTGTTCATGTCCATTCGATTTCTGCCCACAGCGACCACGAATCACATTTGTTTGCTTTCCACTAAAACGGACTGGCAAACAAACAAACACACACACGTTGACCAAAGAATACAGCAGATGCGGCACTGCACCGATTCTCTGACAGCGAAGCAGTGCCATTTTTCAATTTGCCAAAAGGGTTTTTTGTCGTGGTGTGAGGCGCGCAGTTTTGTTTCAGAAACTTTTGCAAACCTAAGTGTTTTATGAGTTTCAAACTGCTGTTGTCTCACTACACTTTCTTTGTTCTTTGACAATTTGTTTTGTCTCACTTTCTTTTTGCTTTTTCTCCTGGCGGCCTTATGACAGAATGACAGAACTTGCTGTTGCTATTAAAATTCAAACTCCATCTTTGCCCCTACCAAAAAGAACAACTTTTGTCGTATACATTTTTTATGATTTGCGTAAATGGTATTAAGATTAGTTTGCACATTTTCATACTTGTGTTGCAATTTTCCCTCTGAATCAACCCGTTCAGTGACGTGTTGGCTTAATCGATGGGCTACAGCGTGCTTTCTTATTACAAAAATTTAGCTGCCTATTCTGGAGAAACGTTCATTTATTTTTTCTTGTGATTGTGTTGACAACAAGCTCTAAAAGCAAAAGCAACTTGTTATCGAGAATCACTACTCAAGTTGATGGCATCGATTGCAATTGGTGGAATCAGTGTCGACTGATGCAGAGTGCATATTAGTTGAGGCAATCTGCTTTTAAATTGTACGGTTTATTTTTTCAACGTGTACTGCGTTTTCTTGTGGCTTTTAGATCGAAAATGCTGTTTTCTAATTGAGCCAAGTCGTTTTAAATTTTTCTTCAATTTCTTTAACTTTTTTGCCGTTTTCTAGCCGATTTTAATTTTCGTTACAATTGGCGCTTTTAATTTGAATTCCACTGCTTTTTTCCGCATACGCAAGAGCCCTTTTGTCAGATGAATGAGCGTTTCGTCTGCACTGTCGTGGATGGGCTTCTCTTTTTCTTTAATTGCCGCAGCATCAGTTTGCCCCACCGGCCCGCCTTTAGCGGTAGTGCAGTGCTCGTCAATTGGGCGGCCATTCATTGGATTGTAATGAAATTTAATTTGTGACCTATTTGCTGTGACGGTGCCTTCAGTGTGCATCTGCCTCTGTTCTTACAGTCCATCTGAATGCTTGTCCAATGTGGCTGGAGTCAGTGTGTGTGTGTGGGTGCCGCTGATTGGGAAAGTGCATTTGCTCTATCTAGGTTCTTTTCTATTGCAGTCAGTCAGAGAGTCAAACCAATGGTTTTAATTTGATTTTGCAAAATTAAACTTTGCATTTTGCTGTTACAGTAGGAGACTTGGGCAAACAAAAAAGTATTTGTTGTTTTTGCAGTAAAGTTGATCAGTCGTTTTTTTACTTTCTGAAGCTGAGAGAGTTTATTTTAAAAAAATTTTAAAAACAATAAATTTTTAAGCAAGAAAGAGAGAGAGGTCACTAGTCATAGTCGGTTATTTGTAAAGTATCAGCTTGGGAAGCGTTTAAGCATCCATCTTAAAGAGCTTCGCTGTTCAGTGACAATGTTTCAATCTTTTAGTTACACTTTGGGTGTTTTGAAAACCACTCTAGTAGTCCTTGTCGGCTTTTATAAAGATAAAATTTATTCTTTGCATTTACTTTTGTAAAAGCTTTTATTCCAAGATTGAATTGAATTTTAATGTTTAAAAGGACAGGGAAGATTACTATTATGCTGTTGCAGTCGTTATCTTTATATGTACTCAGAGAAAGCTGAATTTGATATTTCTACACTCTATTGCTTGATCCGTTTCTTCAGTTATCTATAATTGGCAATTAATTATCTTACAGCTATGTTTTGTCACTAGGTAAAATTGTGCCCAAGCAGATGTGCAGCCTAGAGGACATTTGATGTTGCTACAAAAAGTTTTCATTTCCGAAGCGAGCAACTTTTTTTGTTTTGTCATTTCTTTTTTCCCGGCAGCACGTCTGCTCTGGTGGCCTTTGCGGCGGACATGCTTGTTTCCGGACATAAGTGGGCAGCGCTTCTTTTCGATGTACAGAAATTTAATTTACTGCCACTGAGAGTAGTTTTGTCTGTTCTAGACTAGCTAATTATTGCCATTTATTGGCTTTTGTCCAGAAGGCACGATGGATAATGACAAACCGTTGTTTTGCTAGAACAGATCACGTACGTTTGCACAGAACCTGCTCATCAAAAATTACTAAACGTGCGTTAGCCGTTTGCCAGGTGCGATATGCAATACACTTTTTTTTTATTTTTACAATGTTTTTGTTTTATTAAATTTTTAATTCAACGCACTTTTTTTCTAATTTTTATGTGCACATTCTTCCTGCTTATAAACTAAACAATGCTGAATAGTCTGATAAGCGGATCAACTAAGATCACTGATCATTGATTAGTCAATTAATTTAGTCCGCTACCTTACGGCTACCTGCGAGTTGTGATAAAAAATAATCTAATTAATTTTGCATTTTTTGTGTTTTCTACAGAGAAAATGAAAGTTCTAACATTTTGGACAACCTACTTAAACGCATGGAGCAGTACGCGAATAATTTGGAATCACTCGTGCAAGAACGAACCGCCGATTACCTCGAGGAGAAACGCAAAGCAGAGGATCTGCTGTACCAACTTTTGCCTAGGTATGTGCTCTTACCATCCTACACCTTGCACTATTCTAGCTGATTGATCAATCGATCTGTGGTAGCCATTGATTGCGTGGCCAGCCACTTGTGCTAACAATGCTCATCAGTGCACTGCAATAATGTTTCATTTAACGTTTCCTTTTGACAGATCGGTGGCAAGCCAGCTGATTAGAGGCACTTCGGTGAGGGCAGAATCTTTTCAAGAGGTAATGCTAACTTTTATTTTGTCTACAGTTTTTTTGCATAATTTGTTTTCTAATCTTATAAAGGTGACCATCTACTTTTCTGACATTGTTGGTTTTACGAAGCTTTCAGCACAAAGCACTCCTATGCAGGTATACTGTTTATTTTAAAATGATTTCCAAATGAGGACTCTGAACAGAAGTTTTGATTTGAAAGAGAGGATTCAAAATAACTTGCTTTTTTGTGCAGTGAATTGACCAGTCCAACTTTGAGCGTTAGATGCATAAAGTTGTTCATTTCTAGTAACTTGCTTGAATAATGACTTTCAAGAGTTGGTGAATGCCTACATAACACAAGGCCAAATATTTTTCAACTACACTGAAGCTGAATTCCTGAAATATTTGACAATTGTACTTTACAGTGGGTTNACTCTGAACAGAAGTTTTGATTTGAAAGAGAGGATTCAAAATAACTTGCTTTTTTGTGCAGTGAATTGACCAGTCCAACTTTGAGCGTTAGATGCATAAAGTTGTTCATTTCTAGTAACTTGCTTGAATAATGACTTTCAAGAGTTGGTGAATGCCTACATAACACAAGGCCAAATATTTTTCAACTACACTGAAGCTGAATTCCTGAAATATTTGACAATTGTACTTTACAGTGGGTTTAGAATGATATTGTTTTTATTTAATTGCGTTTTAAGCATTTGATTTTTTTGAGTTTGTTGTTTTAACATTTTTGATCAAAGTTTTTAATTAGATTCCATGGCTATGATGTCAGTAGTTGCGCAGCCTTTGGTTATTTTTTTACATGTCACTTACATTTTATAAAAAGTTGCAAGCAATCACTGACGACAGTTTTTATTGCCTTAGCTCGTTTGATCACCAATTTTTTTCTTTTATTACTTTAACCAAACACTTTTTTTAATTTAGGTCGTCGATGTGCTCAATGATCTCTATACATGTTTTGATTCAACTATAGAACATTTTGACGTTTACAAAGGTTATTGTTACTTTAGGATTGTTTTTAAAAACTATTTTTAACGACTTTACTCTTTCAAAAACAGTTGAAACAATAGGTGATGCGTACATGGTAGTGTCTGGACTTCCGGTTCGCAATGGTGATCGCCACGCACGCGAAATTGCCAAAATGTCACTAACGCTGCTTTACGCAGTTCGCTCTTTCAAGATTAGACATAGACCTGGAGAGCAACTTATGCTCCGAATTGGCATTCACTCAGGTTCGTGCGTGGCAGGCGTAGTCGGCATGAAGATGCCCAGGTATTGTCTCTTTGGGGACACTGTCAACACTGCGTCCAGAATGGAGTCTACAGGCCTTCGTAAGCTTTTTACAATCTTTTTTATTGTTTTTCATTTTTGTTTTTTTATTTGTACAGCGCTGCGCATTCACGTAAGCGAGTCCACAAAGAAGCTTCTAGACAATACCAATGAATTCGAGCTTAGTTTGCGTGGCGAAATTGACGTAAAAGGAAAAGGAGTAGGTTTTTTCTGATGTATAGTCAACACTGTGACTGATTTTATTTACAAATAGGTAATGACAACTTACTGGTTAACTGGGCTGTCAGACCAGGCAAACAACAACAACAACAATAACATTACCGACACGTCTGACTACTTGTGCACTAGCAGTCAGCGGTCAGTGTGCGAAGGATGCAGTCCCATGGAGGATGGCGATTCTTCAGAGAGATCACACGATTACTATCCACCAGAAGTGAACACCAAAAAGAATGATCTCACCGCCGACCTGACAGTACTCTCAGTGGGGATCCACGAGCCAAACAACCTCAGCACGGTGAAGATCTCTACTGCATGAGAGAGCAGTAGCAGCTCATTTATTTTTTTGTTTTAAAATGTACATATTTTTTATTTTGTTTTATAATCACAAAAATAACACAAACAGAAAAGTGTAATTACAAACAAACGGGGTAAATGATTAGCGTGAAAAGATTGCACGCAAGTAAAGGGCCAGATAGGCGACGACTCGCAGAACGAGGAAAAGAAAGAAGAGACCAAAAAAGTCGCCCACTTCGCCTTTGTGGCCCATGTCGAGGAACTGCATCACGTCTTCGCCGTTGTGGAAACAGGACAAACTGGCAGGGGAGGGATTGGGTGGCAGTGTGACATTGCTAACTGATGGTGGAAGGGTCGAAAAGGTGACATTAGGCATTGAGGGTAGCACGCAATCGAGCATGTCCACATTAGTCCACTGATTGTTCACCAGCAGGTCAAAGCCAAAGTAGAACCAAGAGAGGAACTGGGCCCAAGAGAGCGATTTGGGAATTGTCCTGTTTTGGGGAGTATAAGTATCATTAGATGTGTTCAATAGAACAGTTCAGCAGTAATTACTTGTTGTTGAGGTAGTAGCCGCCAAGCAATTGCAAAGGGATAAAAATTGGCGGCCCAACAGCTAGAGCTAGGTCAGTGTTGTTACAGACGGCCGAGATAAAGTAACCGTAGGAGACGCCCACTAGAGATATGGCAATGCCGACGACGATGAGGTAGAGGCAGGCATCAAAAGGCGGATTTAAGCCAATCAGGTAGTAGATGATGAGCCCGTAGAAAACGGGAATGAAGATGAAGATGGGCGTCTCGGCAACGTTTCGCATCACAAAGTAGGCGTCTACACGGTACATGCCGCTGTTGTGCTCACGCAGAAAGATGGGCATCTCAGAGCAGAAGACATTGACAACGCAGAAGGCATTGTTCAGAGATATGTTCACCAGGTACAGGTACAGGGCGCCGTTGGTGTTGAAGCTGCCGCGCTGGTCGTACTTTGAATGGAAGAAGAAGAGGGCCAGAATGCAGGCGGTGATCTAGTATTGGCAGAATCGTAAAAAGGAATTGTGTTTACAAGGTACTTCAGTCACTCAACTGAAAACTCACCAGTGCCTGACCACCGCGAATATACGTGAGCAGTGGTTCTCGCATGGTGCAAACGTAGGAACGCCAGGCCAGCGCTTGGTACTGCACAAAGCAGGAGGTCTTGTAGGGTGAGTTGAACACCACCGACTCACAGCTCACAAAGGTAGTGGTCGCCTTCTCGGGCAGATCCTTCATTACGGTTTTAGAGGCAAAGTGGTCACAGACTGCATTCAGCTTCTTACGACAGGACACCTCTTTGCCGGGCATCACCGCTAATTGCTTCACGTAAAACTCGGCTGGATTGCTGCAAGGTGACGAGGTTAGCAAAAATAGCAAACTGAAAAAAGACTTACTAATTGGGCGGACACTCCATTTTGAGTGAAGCGAAGAAGGCGGGCGCAGCTTTAGTGGGGCCCATGTAGGCGACACGACCGTCGGCCATCAGCAAAAGATTCTGAAAGAGGCTGAAAACATTCGACGCGGGCTGGTGAATGGTGCAGATTATGGTCCGTCCGGCGGTGGCCATGCGGTCGAGAAAGCCCACTAGTGTGGCAGCCATGAACGAATCCAATCCTGAGGTGGGCTCGTCGCAGAACAAAATGGACGGCTTGGTGAGGATCTGCATTGGAAGGACAAGATTGAGTCAGCAGTGTATGTGTGTGGCACGCCAGTGATAATACCTCGCAAGCAAAGGCCAGGCGCTTCAGCTCACCACCGGAGATGCCTTTACCGGTGGCCAACGTTCCACCGACCAGGTTGTCGGCACATTTCTCCAGACTGAGCTCCTTCATGACCTCATTCACTCGCTGAACCTTTTCCACGTCACTGGTGGTGGGGTCCATTCGAACCAGTGCCTGAAAGGTGAGGTGCTCCCGCACTGTCAGCGTGNTCGGCACATTTCTCCAGACTGAGCTCCTTCATGACCTCATTCACTCGCTGGACCTTTTCCACGTCACTGGTGGTGGGGTCCATTCGAACCAGTGCCTGAAAGGTGAGGTGCTCCCGCACTGTCAACGTAGCTATGAACAGGTCCTGCTGCTGCACATACGCCGACATGGCAGTGATCTTGTTGACGTCCGCCACCTGACCGTTGATCTTCACTGTTCCATCAACGGCAAAGTTGGAGAGGTTTCGTGCGGTGAGAACATTGAGCAGTGTAGTCTTCCCAGCACCTAAAAGCACAAACTTTAGATTAGTCTAAACTTTACAAACGCTCTGGAGGCTTACCTGAAGAGCCCATAATTGCCAGAGAAGAGCCAGAGGGCACTTCGCCAGACACTGCAACAAGATTGGTAAATTGTTGGTTGTTTTTCAAGTTGCTTACCATTCTTGATGATTTGAGTTGCCGGACGGCCAGGTTTCATTCCAAAGAATGTTTTCTCAGCTTTCGAAGAGACATTGATGTTGTACCAACCAAGCGAAGCCGATACAAAAGATTTGCTGGAAAAAGACATTTTCTCCTGTTGACGGTAAGCAACTAAAAAACGTAAAACGTGTCAACTGCTGTTTCTGGCTAAACTTTTGTGAAACTGGGTAAACTTTTGACAAAAGTTCGAAAAAATTGAAAATAGAAAAGATTGGTAACATGACAGGCGCGAGAGGACTTACATCTGGCTCTGTTTTGAATCTGAGCCTCCTTTTTTAATGAGAACAAGGGCGCATCACTTTTTGCACAGCGGACAACTAATCCGAACCAGTACTGCACAGAAAAGTTCTTTCCCGGTCTCGTCAACCTGGGCAACACTTGTTACATTAATGCAGTTCTGCAAAGCCTCTACAACACCTCCCAACTTGTCGAGTTTTTCCTAAGCAAAAACAACTCATCGCTTATCTCCAAATGTGGTCTGGCAAAAAAGTTAGCGAATCTTTTCAAGGAAATGGCACCAAAAAATGCTTCAAAATCCATATCACCGACAAAACTAAACGAAACCATTTTTAAACGTTTAACTTCTTTTAAGAAGGGACAAGAGGAAGATGCTGTCGATTTTTTTCAACAATTTATCGCCTTGCTAGACAAGGAACTAATCACTTCAGCCGTCAATGCAGAGGTGGATGGCCAAGCTGCGAGTGGGCAGGGCTCACGAAACCCGGCTGGTATTTTCACCAATATGTCAATTTTCAGTGCAGCCAAAATGTACGAGAAAACTTGCAGTACGGTCAGGTGCACCATCATCGAAGATCTTTTTGAAAACTGCATCATAAGCACTATCATATGCAAACGCTGTTTATCTTTTTCACTCTCCGGAAAAATACTTCAGTTTGCCATTGCCAATTAAGGAAGGTGAAAACTCCTTCATCACTGAAAGTCTGGAAATGTTCCTGCAGGAGGAGGAGTTGAGCAAAGACAACCAGGTGGAGTGTTCGAAATGCAAGAAAAAGCAAAATGCCAAGAAACGCTTATCGATATGGGCACTGCCCAAGGTTTTGGTAATTCACCTGAAAAGGTAAAAGTGCTTTTAGATAGCGATAAAT